ATGAGCATGGACATCCTGAGCACTCCCAGTGAAGCAGCTTTCATTGTCACTCCAGGCTAGGCTGGACATCTTCCAGTCAGGTCACCTCCTTCCTCCAGCAGGTCTTGGTAGTCAACTGAGACTACACCTCAGGTCACCTACCTTGGTCCAGCTGTGTGAGGGAGCAAATTTGGTTTAAACCTATTTTTGCAAATCACTTTTTTCACCCCTCAAATACAGAGTTTATTTTGTGGCAGACACAGTTCTTAGCAAACCAGGCTTTCCTCCTCCCCAGAACTCATTTTTTTATTTGAGTGGCAAATATTTATGAAGCAGAAGCTTGGCAAGCCTTCTAGGATTGATTGTAAGAGAAGAAATACAATGAGAATGTCTGCTCTTGAGCTCTACAGATCTAGAGGCATTCCAGAGAGGACAATTATGAGACTGTGCTGGATTTAAGACATTTTCCTTGTGTAGAAAATCCTGTTTGTGATGTCATTAATGATAAAACATTTGAATGTTTGGACACAAACTTAGTGTCTCAAAGATTTCACACTTAGCACTGCCAGGCATTGATCTCTAAGTAGCATCAATTCCTTATAGCACCTGCCCTCTTTCCCTTCAGTTGCTGTGAGGGAGCAGCTCTTTCATGCAGCACTGAGCATGTCACTGGTCCTTGCTAAATTAGCAGCTGGAACATTCTCAATACATTTAGAAAGAAAAGGCCAGCTCAAGGTTACAGCAGGGACCAACTGGCTGGTGAGCTACCAATAGACTTTCTACTTTCTGCAAAAGAAATTTGAAAGAATAAATATATAATTGTGTCAGAACAAACAAGATATGTGTCTAAGATCAAAGACAGCCAGCTCCCAGGTAACATCTGATTAGTCCTCTGGGAAAAGGCTTTTGCAGTACTTAACACAAGGACTTTGAGCCTCACTGACATCTGGCTGACAAGGTAAATGGACATACATATTGTAGCTTATTTTAGTGTTACTGTGGTGAGGGAGAAGGACAAAGATATTCATTTCTCCATGAGGTTTTTACTGGAGGTGCAAGGGGCCGTGCAGTCTGCTGCCCTAATCTCATTGTTTACAGAAGTTGATATATGAACCCTATCAAAGATCGTGAAAGAAAACAAATCCAAATCTCCCTTTCTGCATGCTACAGCCCAGCCTTGTTATAACTGAGCCCTTCTAGCAGTCTTCTCCTCTGGCACTACAGATCCAGAATAGTGTGGGGTGTTGGAAGGCATTATTCACATGTCCTACCAGCTTTGAGTAATACTGTGACTCTGGCTAAGTCCATATTGTCCTTGTATCAGGCTAAAACATTATTTCCTCATTTTTATTGTTTCAGGTCTTACAGCACACTTTTTCAGCCTTCCTCCTTCACTTTCTTTCCAACCCTTTGTTTTTCATGTGGCTTTCCATGGAGTAATTTGTTTTTTATCAATAACTATTCAGCTATGATTCGATGATTATTTTACTCCAGTAGTACATGGGTTTCCTCAAAGAAGCTTAAATTCCATGCCATTCCATTTCCATTGAAATGCTGTACAAAATCCATCTGTGCTGGGCAAACCAACCTTCTGGAAAAACTCTAGGAGGAAATTATCATCTCTGTACTTGTAGATAAATTGCCACAGAGTTTGTTACTATGCCACAGCTAGGAAGGAATGCAAGAAGTAGAGCAAATCATGAGCATCTCTGTCCCTCTCTTGGGGAATTATGATATGGTCCTCAGCAAGCTTGACTGTTCATTTGTGTAACAGTGGGAAATTGCTGCAACACAGGAATCAGTGTGAGAAAGTTCAGTGTGAGATCTTATGAAAGGTATTTATTTACAAAATCTTTAAGCAAGTTGGTTTTATGCACTCACACTCATTCGGCTGTAGAGTTAATTCTCTGACACTCTGATACTTGTACATTCTTGATCACCAACCCATAGAATCCCAGTGGCCTGGCCGGGATCCCTTGAGCTCGACACAAAGGAACGGGAATGCTGCTGCCACACCCTCACTACAAGCCCTTGACTAGGGACAACAAAGTGGTTTCTGGACAGATCTGTCATTTCTCTTAGGAGGCATCAGCTGGTATCTTTTACCTCAGAATCCTGTTTACTTTGTTCTCCACAAATGATAGGCCAGGATGCTGCCCATTGCCTGTTTTTCCCTGTTTTCAACACGTGTGTTTTCCAGGCAGGACAACAGGAAAGGCAAGGCATATCTGACACTGCAGCCTTGGTACCATCCTCCTGGGATCAGGATCCTGGGTCTTTTGCTGACAGGTCTCTGTGTTGTGGCTGTTTTCAAAGTGCAGGTCTTTGGCCTTGACATAAACAGAGCAATTCCTGAACTTTTCTGCTGGGAATGGTTTTCTGTGTTTCCAAGTGTCCATCCTTTTAACCCTTTGTTCTGCTGTCCCTGCTGCTGCCTTCGCACATTTTCATTCATTCTTAACTCCCATCATCCTTTGCTTTGCTGTTACAGATCACTGCAACTGCTGTAGACAGTCCTGATGCCCTTTTATTAGAATTCATAATCTCTCTAAAATAACTAATTTAATGCCCCCACCAGTCTTTGACAGCACGCAGATGAATGCTCTGTTGAAGTGCAAATGCAGCTTGTAAATGTAATATATCATACTTGGTGAAAGAAACTTTAAATCAGGGGGCACACACACTATATCCCCTATATCTGCTGAAGCACAGACTTCTTGAAATGCCAAAATATGTGTGAAATAATGAAAACACTGGGGTGGCCAATATCAACAGCTTTAAAAATAACAAAATATATGCCTGCCAAAATAGGAATGGAAAATTGATAGTCTGTATTTCCCATGACGCGGTGGAAGATTTGCACAGACTGCTCCCACTGATGTCATGAAGTTACTGCACTAAATTTACTGTTAGAAGGTGAAAACCAAACCATTCCTGGTTTAATATCTTTTTGTTTGTTCCCAGCAAGGGAAGTTATAGATTATTGCTGACAGGAGGCAAAATGCTGACTCTACCTTAAACCTTGAAGCTGAGGTTTGCTAGTGCTGACCAGTGCTGGGTATGAAATCGAGTTAGCAGTCAGTGTTAGGTGTGCAGCTACTTGACAGCAATTAGACACTTTGAAATGTAGGATAGCACAGTGAAGTCACTAATTAGTCTTTTGCAGGTAGTTATTAAAAGCTGGTTAACTGAAAACTGACCAGTAGAAGCTTGCATGCCCCTGGCTTTTAGTGTTTTTTAGCTACTCACTATTATTTGAAAGTAGAATCTTAAAACATGTTCTTTTAGTAACCTTATTCTTCTTTCTGTAACTCGATTAATTTGTGACACTGAGGCTAAAATGTGTTTGTGTCAGTGACTTGCAGCACAGGCCCAGTTAAATGGGATAGCCTGAAACTCCAGCTGCATTAAGGGGAGAACAAAATTGCAAGTGCATGATGCAGTACCTTAGAGAGAACAGAACTTTACTGATCCAGCACTTTACCCTATGAGTTCTAATGCAGAGGAATGTTTTCTAGGCACAGGTATTTGGACACCCAAGAGGACTGGAAGTTGCAAGGCTGGATTTATTAGAGCTGGAAATAAATTTTGCACAAGCTAGAACTGGCTTTTTTTTTTTTTTTCTTCACTAACATTGAGATCTAATAAAAATGGAAGTTAAATGTGGTTAAGATGCCACAGAAGAATGCAGTGAGAGATGCCACACACTGTCCTATGTACAATCTTAATGCAGAATCCTTGTTCATGATCTAGCATACAAACACAGAGCCATGGTCTGTGACTATTTTTGTAACCACACCCTTTTTGTCTTTTTCAGAGCTTGGACTGGACTCTGGTACAACATTCACCACAACTGTACAGAAGTGCATGAAAACATTTTTTAAAAAAATTCATTGTGGAAATTTGAGTCAGAAAAATCAGGACTGTCTGTTCCTGCCTCTACCATAGAACTCCTATGTAACAATCTAATTACTCCAATCAAAGTGCTTCTAATTTTCTAATGTCAAATATTTGCGTAAGTAGTTCTAGGTAGCTGAAATGCTGAGGACTTCAAACTGCAGCTGAAGTTTGCTATATGTGTCTATACATTATATCCTCAGAAATGGTGCTGGTATTGATATCCAGGCTGGCTCATTTTCAATTAATTCTGATAAACCTGCAGTTCTATGTACATTTATGTAAGTGTCTATACACATGTACATAGAATCATAGAGTTGCCTGGGTAGGAAGGGACCTTAAAGACCATCTTGTTCCAACCCTCCTGCCATGGGCAGAGACACCTTTCACTAGACCAGGTTACTCAGAACCCCACCCAACCTGATCTTAAACACTTCCACGGATGGGGCATCCACAGCTTATCTGCGCAAACCGTTCCAGTGCCTCACTACCCTCACAGCAAAGAATTTTTTCCTAATATCTAATGTAAGCCTACTCTGTCAGTTTGAATCCATTCCCTCTTGCCCTGTCACTACATGCAATCTCCATCTGTCCTGTAAGCTCCCTTCAGGTGCAGAAAGGCCACAATTAGGTCACCCTGAAGCCTTCCCTTCTCTAGGCTGAACAATCCCAATTCTCTCAATCTTTCCTTGTATGAGATGTGTTCTATCCCTCTAATTATCTTGGTGCCTCCTCTGGACTTGTTCCAACAGATTCAGGTCCTTCCTGCACTCAGGACCCCAGCGCTGGGCGCTGTACATGTATGTGTGTGAGCTGCAGGTTTTGACGAGCGAGTTTGGGTACCAGTAGCATTCCTGTGGTAAACACAATCTTCCCTGTCAGTTATAAACCAGTTTCTTCAGGACAGGGACACTGGAACTTGCCAGGTAGCTGCTGAGAAATGTTTGTGCCTTAATGTTTTCTTCAGCCTTCAGAAGTGCTGGTTACTCTGCAAGTCTTGAAGGCTTTCTCTGTCAACTGAGAATGCCCTTTCTGAGAGGGAAGAATACAGCCTTATCAGAAAATTGATTACATGTATTTGCTTAAGACTCCCATGTTACAGTAAGATGCCCACAAAATGACCACGGAGAAATAGTTTTATTCAGTGCACTTAAAGTGAAACAAACAGTAGTTTGGAAAAGGCATTGTAACCACTTGGCCATTACAGAGTGAACATGGCAAGTACTGAATTTACTATAAAAGTATCCACAAACTAGACAAGCAGAAAGAAAAAATATGACTCCCCTCTTCTCCCCCCATCCCAGTGTGAACAAGGTTAAAAAGCATTTGTGCAAATGGATATATTTCTGGCTTGGAGCCAACTGGGGAGAGAAAGCAATTGCTATAGATAGAATCCCAGAAGGTGTAACAGAAGTTGCAGCAGGCTGTTGGAGGCTGAAGAATGTCAAGAATGAGGTTAGCAATTAGTAATTCCAGAGACTTTATTTAAGTGGAGTCTGCTCACAGGTAGCAGACTCCACAGAATTTTAAACATGGAAGCAGTTGCTGGTGTTCTTTCTACTACTTGAGACAGAAAGTATAAACATTTTTAATTTACTAAGAGTAGGACACTTCAACACACATTTAAGGGTCCTGGCCACTTGACAGCAGCAGGCTTTAAATTCCATAGATGTAGAAGTATCTTTTCCTTGTCATTAAAACTCTCACCTCAGAAGGAACATTACCAGAGGAAATGATCTTGATCAAATATGTATTTTATACATGGCATGTTCCATTTTTTAAAAATCCAAAATTAAGTTTACTTTTCCAATAAAATACTATTGGATTTATTTTGGCACATCATGTTCTCTATTCAGACAGTACATACATCTATCCTTTATTTTCCATGTAGAAATACAGGGACAAGCTTTTGGCCAAGCTGCTCTAATACAGTTATTTTGCCTTATTTATAACTCCCTCTGTAACGCAGCTGGGCCTGCTCAGCACAACAAACACAACTGTATGTAACAATGACGTGTTTCTGAGGAATTAATATCTTCACTGCTCCTAAATCACTAATGCTTTGAACATTTCACACATTATTTTACAAATAGAAGGGAAAGTTGGGTACAAACAAAATATACACCATCTAGGATTAGAAAAAGAAAAGATCATTATGGAGGTGGAGGTGTATACCTGTGAAGCTTACAGCAAGCAAAACCAGCCAAACCCCCAAATCTCAGACTTATTTGCCTCTAATAATGGTTAACAGTTTTCAGCAATGTAAAATTAGGAATGAATAAAATAACTTTGAGATGGAAACCACATTTCTCAAAGCAGCAGTTTTTGTTAATTGAGTTGTTATCTTTCTTGCTGCTTCTGGAGCTGAGGCACCCAGTGGTTTACTATAAAAGGAGCCTGTATACAAGTGCCTTCAATTGGTGGTTATTTTCAGGAGAGTTTATGTTCTGCAGAAGAGTAAATGAATCTTTTCCCTTTTGAGATAATTGCATATTCAGGCCTCTGTGAATTATGGAAAATGAATTTGGAGGTGACAACTCTTTGTGAGGTACAATTGCACAAGGTCCAGGAGAAATGACCAAGAAGATTAAAGTGGCCTATTTTATAATATATTCTTACAAAACTTCACAGAAAACTTAAAAATGTGTGAAGTCATAATGCATTCTACATAACAAGAGTCAGACACAGGCTATCATAAAGGTTTTTGGAAAGACTACAACCTAACTTAATGAATAACAAATATGCCTAAAAATGAGAAATACTCGTTTTAATAATAAAATACTACTTTATAGTGGATCTTTAGGCCTTTGATCTGACTGCCACCCATGTTCTTGGGAAGAATATTCTTCTTAAGATCTACAACCTGACTGTCAGGTTGCCTACTATTTCATCAGTGTAAGCTCCTCAGTCTCCACAATTTGGGATCCTAGCAATCATTTCCATAATGTTTGCAAGAGTTAAAATAGTTTATGTTGCAAAGCACTGGATTAGATCTCAAAAAAAATGGACTTTATTCTTGTTTCTGTAGGTCACCCAGATGGGTAATCTGCGAGGTTACCACTCTATTCCTCGGTTTCTTTATCTGTAAAATAGCGATAATTATATTCACTAGCTTTTAACAAACATTTCAAGATATACATGGTTAGGGATTAAGCAGTGTGGATTATCCCTGATGAGTAACACACAGCTGCTAATACACTGACTTATTCACTTTCATATTAGCATCTTTATTTAAACATTTGCAAAACACTCATTTTGCAAATGAGCAAACTGCAACTGCAAAGAGGCTTTTATCCAGCACAAGTGTAATTAGAATAGTAGAGAAGTGATGAGACTTTGAGCTGAAGACACGATATATCTGGTATTTTAACTTCAAGTAACTGCAGTAGGAAAAAGAGTTTCCAGTTCAAGTCTGCCCTCCGCTGGCTTTACCAGAACACTGCTAATAAATTTTGGATCAATAGTGTCTTTCTGTAATGGAGTGAAGGAACTAAATTAATAGAGGCTAATACATTTATTAATTGACACCTTTATTCATTTATAAAAATTTTGTAATAGTAGTTACGTGACTTGTAATATTTTCTGAAGTCTCATCTAGGCTCCCTAGTCACATTCATGTTTTTCAGGATTTCAAAAGCCCATCAGCGTATCATCCATCTTAGAGTCACTGGAACTAAAATACAGCATGGGAGGTATCATTCTGCATGTAGCTTTAAAGAAATTTAATAGAAAAACTACACAAAAATATTTTGCTTGATACAATTAATGACTCAGATACTGCTGTATGTATTAGTAAAGTACTAAAAGAGAGCAGGATAAATCTGGTCTAGTACTCTGTCACTAGAAGCAGACTGTCCCCTTAAAATATGAGAGGAAAAAAGAAGACCATTTATTACTGTGTTTATTTTAGAAAGAATTTTCCATCACAAATACCAGACACAAATAACTCATCTCTAAACTCAGGACGACTCATTTTCCTTTCTATTTTTAAAGTAGGAAGGTAATTGGGATGTGCGGAACTATCTTATTTATACTTACTCACACAGATTCATCCAGAATGACTTCTACCCCAAGGTGACATGGGTGTCTGAAATACAAAATCTGTATAATTATGTGCTGGATGATGTGATTGAGCTGAAAACCTCTGGTTCATATATCTTATCATCTTCAGGCTTCATTACACATAACAGCATTTAATCTCTTGTGACTGCTACCTACATCTAAAATAAAGGAGTGCAATATTGTTTCTTCAGATGTGTACTTAATATACACTTGGAAAAAAGGGAAAATATAAAAGTATTACAGAAATGGCATTTTATTTGGACCATTTAAATGCTTGGAAATCAGTGTCAGATTCACAGCTTGTGCCAAATGTGCCTAATAGACTTTATAAAGCAGAACATAAGGAATTTTCACAAGTTCCTTGAATGTCCTCTGCATCTGCTAAAATTCTTCCTGAAATGGTTCTCATTCAAAAATGAAACCTTTGGGAGTCCATTAACATTTTACAAGAAGCAGTGAAAGGCACACAACTAATCTGCTGTTATGGGTTTGAGGTTGCTTGGTTTGTTTGTTGATTTTCTTTTTTCTTTTTTGTTTTTTGCTATAGGCAGGAAGCTGTGGAAAAGCTACTGAAATCTCATTAATCACTGCAGTGCCTACTGCTACCCTCTTAAACTGGACTCTAGCATCTAAAATTACTAAAATGCAGTTGTTCTGCACTTCTAGAAGAATAAAGTTTGAGATTTTTAATAATCCTAACTGAAAAGCAGCAGCAATGATTGAAATACTGATAGGGATTTCCCTGAAAGATCATTTGTTTTCTGTGCAACAGTGGAAATAGTCTTAGATGAACTTACAGGCATGTGAATCAGGCTGACAATATATAGAGAAGACACAGTAGTGTGTCTACTTGACAATGTTTTGAAATTAGTAAAATCTAAAAACATTTGTCTGGGCTAAATATGTCATATCACTCCACTAAAATAGACAAAGTATGGACAGAAATTGTGTAAGAAAGGCAAAAGGGAAGTATTTTAAGAGACTAAGTTTTATTTTAGTAGGATAGGAAAAACTTCATTAACCATGAGTTGTGCTTCATTTAATCTTGATAGCAGCAGATGAGACTTGGAAAGAAAGAAAAGAGCTTTCCTTGATCGCCTTCTGGTATCTAGGAAAGGCGTTAATTACTCTTCATTATGATACTAAATTACTGATTCTAATCTTCCATGTGCTGGAGATCTTAAAGAATTTGCAGTGAAATCTGAACTACTGGAATGCAAAAACTAAAGACAGACATCAACGTTGATACTTTCCTTTGTACTGGTTGAATTTCCAGTTTGTGAAAGGCAGCTCTTGCTCAGGAAGCTCAGGCAGCACGAGGCTCTGCCAGGGGATGTGTGAGCTGCTCCTCACCTTGCTGGGCATGGTTAGGCCCTGCTGAATTAGGAATATGACAATAGGTTTGTCCTCAAGTTTCTGAAGTCACTTCACCCAAAGTGAACAATGAAGATAAATTAATACCTATGTTCAGTTTAAATAATTAGTTCAACATTTAGATTTACTACTAATTATTCTATTTGTTCACATACGTGACTCATTTTCTTTGTTGACTGGGCAGTCTTATTCAAGATCTGAAAATACACATATTTTTACCTTTCCTTTTATGATCTGGACTCTGTAATTTGCATTACAGGTTGTTAAAAACTATAATAATGACAGCACTAGATTGTGCTATGCTTTTAATTCTATTGAAATAAAAGCTATACTGAATTAAACTTTAATTTACACTTCAAAAAAATTTAGTTTCAACAAACACCCTTCTTGTATTGGAAGTTAGTTACAACAAAAAATTATACTTAAGGATATATACAGTAACTGAAATTACATATGATTTGTGTTACTGGGACTTAAGACAAAACCCAGAATAAACTGGCAAAAAACCCACACCAACCTGTTTCAGGTCTACCTGGCCTACTTCAGCTCAGAGTTCTTTTTGCTTTACTACGTGTTTTCTCTTATCTTATAACCAGAGATAATTAGTAGCTTGTTGTATACCTTTCTCTTGCAAAATCTGAGCATGCATATGAAAGCTGTATTGTAAATCAGTGAAGCAAGTGGTGTGCATCAATCAGTTATATTTTCAAATATTGCACCGTCAGAAAAAGTTGTTTCAGCAGCACTTTTTTTGTAGTTGGATGCTAAGAAAGACTATTAACACTCATTGACGAGAGGAAGCAGAATATGACTTATAGTTAGAATCATTATTTTTCAAATGCTGCAATTCTATGTCCTGTATCAGAGAGGAATATTTCATTTTTCTCTGCAAAGACTTAAGTTATCAGTTTCATGGTTGCTTCACCACTTTACAATTTATTAAGGTTGGAATTGATATAAAGGCAAGTATATAAGCAAAGACTTTGGAAAATCAGAATATATTATTTGTTTTCCTCACCTTGTTTAAATCATAGTAAAAATTTGCCTAAAATAAGCATTTTTTAAGTACTTTAAAATCTTTATATATATGTGCTGTTAAAACAACATATTCTTCAGCAACAAAAATCTATTTGAGATCTGTCTACAAAGAAAAGGTTTACATTAATAAAACACCTTTAGAGGAAAATCCTCCTAGAGTTATCAAAACCTTTGCTGCTCAGCTGCTTAAAAAAGAGCTTAATTAAAAAAACAATTAATGAGTAAATATGGGTATTAATTTTGGCCTCAGAAAATCCTTTTATCCATCAGATTTTTGCGTATCATTGAAAATATGTAAGGAATCAGATTATTGCTTTCATCCTTGGCCAAATATTGCAATCACAAAAACATGCATTGAAGAACTGTTGAACTTTTAGAAAAACTATATATGGTAAAAGGTAGCAGCATGTCTAAGTGTAACATTTAATTTTCATTATTAAGCAAAGATGTGCAGAATGGGAAAGTCACGCTTCAAACAACACTATAGTTCTGAAGCAGGTAATATTCAATTTTTAAGCACATCAACAGTTCTTCTCAGAGGTCTCTAAAAGCTTTTGATGAGGTTGTTTCAATGCTGTCTCACCTCAGACTGCTGTTTCTCCTTCCCTGGCCTCCGAAGCTGTAATGAAAAATAATGAGATTATAACTCCATGTCACCACTCAGTTTTGGTTTATTTTTAAGTAAGTAAATAGTACAGTTACTGTAAATATACAAAATTATTACATTTTGCTGTTTGTTCCTGCCACTCTGATCATTCTATTCATTTTCAGCAATTTTCAGCCAGCAGCCAAGCCCCACACAGCCACCCGCTCACTATGCCTCACAAACACTGGGATCAGGGAGAAATTCAGAAAAGTGAAAGCCAGAAAACTCATGGGTTGAGATAAAGACAGTTTAACAGGGAAAGCAAAAGCTGTGCACACAAGCAAAGCAAAACAAGGAATTAATTCATTGCTGCCCATGGGCAGGCCATCCCCAGGAGAGCAGGGCCCCATCACATCTAACAGTTACTTGGGAAGACAAACACCATCACCCCAAATGTCTCCCCTTCCTCCTTCTTCCCTCCACTTTATATACAGACCATGATGTCCCACGGTCTGGAATATCCCTTTGGTCAGCTGGGGTCACCTGTCCTGGCTGTGTCTCCTCCCAGCCTCTCATGCATCCCCAGACCCCACACCAGCATGGCAGTACAAAAGGCAGAAAAGGCCTTGGCTCTGTGTGAGCCCTGCTCAGCAGTAACAAAACTTCTCTATATTATCAACCCTGTGTTCAGCATGAGTAGAAAATACAGCCCCATAGCAGCCACCATGAAGAAAATTAACTCTACCCCAGCTGAAACCTGCACAGCAACTGGCAATATCACTTTTCTTGGAAATATCCCATATCAGACAGTGACCAGAGTATATCCAACAAGTATCATACAGAAAATCATATGAAGATTCTAATTTGGACAAAAAATTTTTATATGCATTACAGCTCTGCTTTCCAAGCATGTTTGGAAACTATGCCAAATGCAAGAACTCAAATATACTCACCCCAAACTAATCTAGGTCTCAATAACATTCAGGAGACATTTTAGAATTGTGCTTATTTTGCACATGACCTAACTGGACTGCCTAAGTCTTTGCTCTTTTAACCATAGTACTTTCCATTTCTCTTTGTCTCTGTCTTTTCTTGTCTTTGTGAAATGAAAAGGAACATTTCCTATATCAGTGGTACTGCAAAGAAGCAGGGATTTATTAGACCAAATGAATAGGAATACTAAAATGGAATAGAAGGAACATCATTATTAGGGCACAATAAAAATAGGAAGTTTAGTTGTAACAATGAAGTGAAATAGAATGTCTAGTCGTAATATACTACTGTTTTTACTGACATCATAAAGATTCAGCCTGCAGTGGAAATCTGTTGAAGAGTTCTTCCTTATTTCTTATGCTATTTATACTGATTTATGGTATAATACTGAAGTATGAAGCATCCACCATAGTCTTTGAAATCTAAGTTCCTCCTAAATAGGGTCAAACTCAAACTTTGTTCCCAAGCAGATGAATTTAATGCAACTTCTTGTCAGTAAATTGGGGAAATCTCAAAAGTGAGACTGGTAAATGCATAATGGAGGCCTGCAGGGATTTCCTACAAAGTTTACAGTGATTTTTCACAGACTTCAATGTGTCACTGCACTTTGTCTCCTTCATCAGCCTCTGAGTTGCATGTACTGTTTACTGTTGCATGTAGCTTTACTTTGTGGTTTGCTGAGATAAAGCTTTAGAGGTCTGGAATTCTTTAACCTGAAGGGTATCCTTTGCACTCAAAAAGACATGTTAAAGCCATCTGATCCAGTGACATTATTCCCTGAATCTGATACTTCAGAAATTCAGTCATGTCTATGAGAATCTCAATTCCCTCATTTACCAATAAAAATGGAAATATTTGGCCATTTTACCATGAGTACTAGTGATATTTATTTGCTGTGAAAACACTTGTGGAATGATTGCTAATCGAGATAATAAAACAGCAGGGATTCATGTTCTTGTTGTCCCAGTTGAAACCTCTGCAATTTTGTTTCTGATTTTATTGTTATTGCTGATCACATGAAGCTACAAGGCAAAAGAAATTCAAAGAGATGTTTTTTTTGTAACAAAAGACTTTCAACATCTATGGTATCACTAATTTTCTTCTGTCACTCCAGCAATTGGGGCTCTTGCTCTCCTTAGTTAATGGATACACCATTTCAAGTGGTTTTGTCTTCATTATCAGCCACAAGAAAAAAATCAAAAAAAAAATCCTTCATAGAAGTGTAACCACAGTAACTTACAAACATGAATACTCAAAACACACCCATAAAATCCCACTTCCATCTTCTCCAGGCAGAGTCACCTCCATCTTACACTACCCATTTCTTTGGGTATCAGGCTTTCTCCCTTCAAAACAGCTCATTGTTTCATGCCCCATCACAGGCCCATTTGCTTTTAGAGGCTAATTGCCAATTATTTATGTGACTAGTGCAATCCCATGAACTTGCAGGGAGGATGACTGCTGCTCTCCTTCCCTCTTGTCTGAGTGAGCATATCACTGAAGGACTCTTAGACTGTCTAACATCCTGGGTGACACAAGAGCCAAACAAAGGCATGGAAAACTTCTGGAGTCCACACAACCATTTATTGGGTTGGTTTTTAATCTTTTTTTTATTTTGGTGGATTTGTTTTTTTGGTGTTTTGTGGGTTTGTTGGTTGGTTGGCTAGCTAGTTGAGGTCTTTTAGTGCAAATATGTTATGTTGGACAGTTTGAGACTATGGATGTGTGTTATGATGAAATAAGTGCTCTTCTCCAGTCACAATTCTTAGTTTACAGACATGCTTTCACAGCTTCAGTACATAAGACTATGTAGATCTAGACCGGTAACTATACAGAATCAACTCTGGTTTATCTGCATACCAACACACACCCTGGTGCTCTTCTAGCACCGATTTTGCTTGTGAGAAAACTGGCAAAGTAATACTAACTTTCTTGCTATTAATTTCCTGTCTTCCGTAGTTAATGAAATAACCTGCAAGCTTTTAGTCAAACATTCAAATTGGCAGACATGAGAAATGGGGGCTAACACGTTTCTGTGCTCTGAAAATTACTCCTTGACTCAAAGTGTGACGGGAAGAAGAGAAGATAACCCTTCCTATCAGGTGATCTGTACATTTGACCTTCTGAATCCCACTTGCACTAAAATTACAGGAAGGAAAAATACCTTTTGAATTCCATTTCACCACAATGGGTCATATTTTATTGCCATATTTTGTAAGAGATTATTAACAAGCTGTGTGCTGTAATAAACAGTTGGTTTTGTACGTTTAGAAAGAATGAGGTGTAACAGTAACCACAGTGTGAAAACAGATCTTACTTGGCCTCATCTACAAAGGAAAACCAATTTAATACAAACTGCTGAAAAATAGGTTCCTGCAAGTCAAAAAACCAGGTTCAATGGTTTGAGTTTTCTTTTGAGTGTGACAAGCCATTACTGATTAATGAATGTGCCTCTTGCACTACACTGGTTCATAAGAGTAAATCTGTAATTTTGAATGTTTTTACAATTCTACTTATGCATAGTAATTTGAAAAGTTTGACAAGATATACCAAAAATATTGAAATCCAACACAAACCTATGGATACAGAGACTTGTTCTCTCAATTTTCAGTTAGAATTCCTAGAATTTCCCCACCAAAGGCATATTCTTTTGGGAAAGGTAGGCTTATAGTCCTATGAACTTCATATTGATGTTCATGTTGAATACAGACAGCACTAGTGCCTAACTTTTCCATAGGGCTAAGTTATTCATTCACTCACAAAATCTAAGCCTCTATTTTACTTGTCAGATATCATTAAATGTGTCAGTCCTATGACCAGAAATACGGGTGTATCCCATATGTATTTCATGTGTATGGAAGCACAGGTCACTGGGACTGGCGTAGAGCAGGAAAGGCTGTGCATTCTGTAACATGACTGCACGTATGTGCCATGACCTCACCAAAATATTCTTTCATCCCCCATACTTTCATAATTCAGAGACCATGGCAAAAGCAAGCCGTGGGCTGCCAGAACCCCTCATGTTGCCTGCAGTTTGCAACCTGCCTGTACCTGGAGAGCAAGTAGTGAGCTAAAAGCTCCTGTTTTTATCATCTTGAAATGGCAGATCAGGCACCCATACACTGGAAGAGTAAATGGTATATATGAATAAGCAAGATTTATTATATCCCTGGATTTTTTCTTGTCTCTAAAAAGCACTGACTTGCTGTTAGTCTTAATGTGACAAAATGGCTACAGAAGTTCAAGTAACTGCTGTAGGCAAACCAATATATGACATACAAAACTTTGCTACAGGTAGCAGACATGATACAGCCTGATGGTGTTAGCTGCTGCAACTGCATTAGTAATAGCAGAACCTGAAGACCTGCATCTGGCTTGGATCTGGCATTACAGCAAAAGGCAGGAGGTTACCTGAGAAAGAATGAAAACATGGTAAAAACATGGTATAAATGATTGAGTCAAAGGCATAGACACGACACAGCAAGATGTCATGTAAGTTGTATCAAGTAAACAGTAGCTTGGTGGTTAGGGCACTGCACGGACAGAGGTCACTCATTTATTAGTTAAAAACCAAAATGCCTTAGTGCTTATCTGGGCTCTGAGGTTTTTTAGGACAACAAGCTCCAAGCGCTGTACTGGCAGTTTTTAGGTATCAGGTCTCTCCCCATATTTCTAGTCAAGTTTTCACCCCCTGAACTCCTTGTTTCCATGGACCGGATATATCACACAGCCTGGTATCAAAGATCACAGAATATCCTGAGTTGGAGGGGACCCACAAGGATCATCGAAGTCTAACTCCTGGCCCTGCACAGGGCATGCCAAGAGTCACACCATGTGCCTGAGAGCACTGTCCAAACACTTCTTGAGCTCTGTTATGTTCGTGCTGTGACCACCTCCCTGGAGAACCTGTTCCAGTGCCCAGCCACCCCCTGGGTGAAGAACCTTTTTCTAATATCAAGCCTAAACATTCCTTGGCACAGCCTCATGGAGAGCTTCATGGAGAGGCATTTCCAGTTTCCTCCAGGAACACCTTTTCTTATCACTCCATCTCTACCCTCCACTTACCAAAGGCACTTCCTACCCTGCAGAGGCGGCGTGTGAGCAACACCTCGAGAGCTCCGGGGAAGAACAAGCACAAGAACGCGGCAGGAGCCAAGGCGGGCAGGGAAACCCACAGCGCTTGCAGCCCCCGCGCCCCCTCACAGCCGCCAGCCCCGCTGGGCCGATCCCGATCCCGCTGCCGATCCCTCAGCCTGCGGCGCTGGAAGGCGGGCGGGACAAGCGCGCTGGGGTCGTGGCGGGCAGAGAACACCCGGCAGGGCAGAGAACACCCAGCGGACGAAGGGAACCCCGCAGCCGCCATTTCCTCGGCCGCCCGAGGGCACGGCCAGCGCCGGTCCCCGCCCCGCAGCCCAGCGATGGGTCCCGCCCAGCGCACGGCGCTGTTACGAGCGCGGCTGCGCTCCTCCTCCATCTCCTCCTCTTCCTCCTCCTCTCTGCCCCGCCGCCGGGATGCCGAAGCTTAGCAAGGAGGCCAAGCAGCGGCTACAGCAGCTCTTCAAGGGCGGCCAGTTCGCCATCCGCTGGGGCTTCATCCCCGTAGTGCTCTATCTCGGTCAGTGCCGGGCGGGGGACGCGCGGGGGCCCTCGGCGGGCATTGCCGAGGCCGGGTCTGGGGTGGCCGGCTCCGATGGCTGCCCTCCTCCCCCTGGCCCGTCCGGACGCTGCCGGGGAGCGGCGGGGCCGAGGGAAGGGCCCGGGGGCCCAGGGCCGCCCCGCCGCGCTGCCCCCGCCGCCCGCGGCCATCGCCGCGCATGTGCGGAGGGGAGGGCGGGGTTGCCCTTGGCAGGACTGAGACGGGGTGGCTTTTTGTTATAGTTGGTTTTTTTGTTTGTGTGTTTGTATGGTTTTTATTTGTTTTCCCCCTTTTTTTTGTAAAGAAGAAGTATTTGATCTTCCCCACTCTGCTCGGCCCTAGCGAGGCCACATCTGGAGTGCTGTGGAGTTCTGGGCTCCTCAGTACAGGAAAGATGAGGAGCTGCTGGAGAGCGTCCAGCACAAGGCCACGAAGATGATTAAGGGTCTGAAACATCTCTCCTATGAGCAGAGATTGCGGGTGCTGGGCCAGTTTAGTCCAGAGAAGAGAAGGCTGGGAGGAGATCTCATTAAAGCATACAAATATCTTAAAGGCAAGTGCCAAGAGATTGGAGGCAGACTCTTTAAAGGTGTGCAGGTACAGGATGGGGAGCAGTGACCATAAACTATAACACAAGAAGTTCCACCTCAACGTGAGGAAGAAGTTCTTCACATTGAGGGTGGCAAAACACTGGAACAGGCTGCACAGGGAGGTCATGGAGTGAAGACATTCAAAACCCAGCTAGACACATTCCTGTGTCACCTGCTCTAGGTGACCCTGCCTGGGCAGGGGTGGACTTGGGAATCTCCAGAGGTCCCTTCCAACCCTAACGATTCTGTGGTTCTGTTGTAAAGAGGTTTTTGCCCCTTTTCCTCCCTGGAGGATAATCCTGTGTGAGTGCCCCTCTGGGGAGTGGGCAGAGCACCGAAGCAGCCAAACAGTGAATGGGGCTGCCATTTAACCCTGTGTCAGTGACTGCCTGCTGTCGTAGTCAAGGCTGTGCTTTGTGCTCTGGGGAGTCTCTGGTGAGCAGAACGCTGGGAGCTCTGCTTCATGGCACTGAGGACATTGCCAGCCTCCGGCTGAGATTGACTTTCCAGCAACAGGAATACAGGTTACAGTCTCTCCCTCCAAAAATAGTGTGGCTCCTGTTTCCAAGCTGCAGTGGAATGTTAATGGGATGCCTTGATGTTGTGCCTGGTGCTCAGGATATATTTTCCTTGCTCCTGTCATCAGGCTGGCCGGGCATCACTACCACAGGGTAGTTCTCCCGCTGAGTTAGAGCTGTATGCCATCAGCCGTCCTTGTTAAAGACAGGCCGGACACTTTTGTTCACTTTTTTTTATAACAGGGGGCCCAGGAAGGCTGATCCCTGCAATTCATTTGGCTTACTTTCTGTTGGGCCTTTTGGGAAAAGCACCTAAACCAGGCAGGCATCTTTGCATCGAATGCAAACATGAAGGAGGGCTGGGAGCTTGATCCAGTCAAATCTGAGAGGTTATTTTGATTAATTGAAGGGAGTGCAGTGCCTGGTTTGAAGGGCTTTGATTGTTTATAGATAATAACCGGGAAAACATTAGTCTCTTCAGCTGTTACAGATGTGCTTTAACAACAACTGCAAGCAAAATAAGTCACTTCAAAAACTATGGAGAAAGCTAATTAGCATTATTAGGTCTTAACTTCAATTGCATTTCCATTTTCAGTTTATAAATTATTTTAAATTGATAATTTTTGGGTGGAATTTCAGTAGTGTTTTGTGACCTAATTTGTAGTTGAAGTTTTGTTTAGATTTTATTTCCATGACAGTGTCTGTGGATGTTGGAAAGATGGTCTTTCTTCTTGGTGACATCAGAGTGTCACACTAGTGACACTAGTAAGTTACATTGGTGACATTAAATGAGTTACTTCAAATTGTATAAAGCCACTTACTTACTTACTGTATTTACAGTTGCGCAAACATCAGGGTGCCTAGTATATTTTTTGTTATGTAGCAGTGAGAAATTTAAGCTGTAGTAGTTTAGGTTCATATCTCCAGAAAATAAGTGTGCTGTACCACATCTACATTGCCTTCCTGTAAATTTATCTGCAGTAATGAAAGTGTAAGCAGATGGGAAGTGCATATGCCACCTTGTTTGCCATAGACGTTTGGAGGTGGCATGTACCCAGAGTCTGCAGGATTGGAAGAACCTCTTCTCTGCTAGGATTACTTTTTAATCTGGGAGGGAAGGTGTGACCCCGTGTGTATCAAATACACGCTGAACTAAAAATAGGCAAGGAATTGGTCAGCAAATTTGGGCCTGTAGCTTTCTCTGTAAGGCTTTCTAGCTCAGGGCATGTACAAGGAGCCCAGTATGAGATTGTGCAGTTATGGGTCATTGGTGGGGTTTTGTTGTATTTTTTTAGACTTTCTTTAAAGTGGCTGCCCTGGTTTTAAGTCAGTAAATTAGATCAATGCAGTTATGTCAAACGTGGTTTGCTTATTTAAAATTACTGGGGGTGAGGGGAGGAGGCAGAAACATTTACAGACACAGAGTGTGGCTGCAATTGATGAATTTTTAAGCTGGGTTTCTGGACAGTATGGCAGCCAAAGCACTTAGGTCAGGATGTCTAGTAGTCTCAGATCATTCAGGGTTATCTTCAAAGAGCTTTTCCAGTGCCTGTGAAGTTAATGGAAGTTTTTCCATTAACCTTTGTGGCCTGTGTTTCAGGCAACATGACATTAATTATTTATTTTCTGTAAACGAGGGAAATAATATACTTTTCCTGAAACATTCACTTCTAGCTAGCCAGTGTAATGTTGAACAGTGCCTGAATTGCATGATTCTTTTTCAAGACTTTTATTTTACAGTCCAGAGAGCAAAGGTACTTCATATACTAAACCTTCAGCTGCTTCCCTAGTATACATATACTTTAGTCAGTTGGTAAATTTGAGTCATTGGGAGCTGGGGATGAACTCTTTGTAGTTAGCTTTCATTTCATTTTCTCGGGTATTAGAAAACAGCTTGTTGGTTTGCAGGCTTTAATAGTATGTAACTTTCTCCAAAGAGTGCCAATCAGAATAAAAGATTGGAGGTTAAATTGATTTAACACTTAGCATTCTGTCATGCTAAATTGGGTGAACTGCTTCTGAAATACTTCTTTTTTGTGTCAGATGTCATTGTAGAATTGTCTGCTAGGCCTCAAGGTGCTTACTCTACACCAGTTTTAGGTGTCTCTGTTGGTAGAGCCCTGCTAGGTTGCTTTCTGAACAACATTTAATGTCTGTGGGTTTGTGTGTGTAAAAGTATGTATGTCTTGATCTCTGGCATAGATGACTTCCTTCATCTCATGCAATTAGTTGATCCTGAATTTAAGGTCAGATAAAGATGCAGGTAAGACTTTTTAAAAAAAGAAAAGTGTACACTGATATTTATTTTCTTTGCTTTCTAACCCTTGTAAGAATGTGCATTTTTTTATTCAGGTTAGTGCACAGCTGAATCACAGTTCTCTGTTCAGTAGTTTTCTTTCTTATTGCTATTTAATGGGCTGGAATAACCTCATAGAGATTTAACTGTGTAGGAATCTGCACATACTTGTTTATTTTTATATATGTATGTAATGTATGTTTCATTTCAGGTTTTAAAAGAGGTGCAGATCCTGGAATGCCTGAGCCAACTATCTGGAGGTATGTATTGGTTCCAAATGTACGTACAAACCCAGTGCAGATAGTTACTGGTTTGGGTGTTACCTCTGGCCAGCAACAGTTGTGAATGATGCTTCCATCCCTTGTTTTTTGTTTTTGTGGTTCTTGTTTCTTCGGAAATTCACATGACAAATTAGCGAAGTTCTAGTTCTTGGGAAGACTTTTCTCTTAATCTTGCATAGTTTTTACGATATGGAACTTCCTGTGTCTTTTGCATGACAGCTGCCCTTCTAATCTGTTGTAGAGCTAGTTTGTACAAGTTTCTGCACTGAACAATAACTTCTCAGATTTCTAGCACTAATTGAAACCAAAATCTAATCTCCTTCTGCCTTTGCAAATGAGGGAATAACACTGCATAAAAGGTGCATGAAGTAAAGGGCTGTATCTTTCAGTATTAGTCACTGTCATGAACCAAAGTGGCTTTGGTTCATGTTGCCTCGTTCTTGTGGGGCTCTTTGTTATGCTGCATTGTTACAGCATTAGTAATGCTTATGTTCTAGTGACATTTAAGTGTTATTGAAGGGCTTCCTTGGGTCTAACTGATTAAAGTTTTGGAGAGAGGGTGGTTCTTCTGTTTTTCAAGAAATGCCTTTGATTACTGTGCAGGACCAGGTATTCCTAAAACAAATAATTGATGGACTGTATTGTTTGCAAAGTCATAGATTAACTCTTTTTGATTTACATAGTTACAGTGATAGAAATCCCATTTTTAGGATTCAGTGATTCAGTAGAAACAGTAGAAAATGTGGGAAAAAAATAGTAAGATCATATTACAATTTCAGTGGAATCTACTGTTGTCTTAATAACCAAGTTGCTGAAGTTGTTTGCTTGCTGACAGTGTTTCTATGTTTAGCTTCACTGGTGGTTTGAGACTTCTTATTTTGGTGTGCATCTGTACAGTGTAAAAGACGTGCTTTGTACCAGAGTATATGTACATAGATACTATGAACAGATGTTTCATCTAATCTGAGCTTTACAGA